TTTCTGTAGGGAGTGGGGGTGGGGAGAATATCAGGAAGTGAGATCAGAGAAGTAGAAGAGAGGTGCAGTGAGTGGGGGTGGGGTGGGGTGCTGGTGGCTAATCTAGAGCCTGGCAGGCCACTTCAAAGAACTTTGGCTTTTGAGTGAAGGGGAAATCACCTCCCTTTTCCCACCAAATCTTGGCTAATTGAGATGTTTCCCTAAATAAAACGTAAAAGGGAGTTTTTTAAAAAACCATGCAGTTTTTTAAGCACAGAAAGAATGAAACTATGTATCCTTGATTCTACTTTTTTAGCAAGAGACTTTGAAGAAATTAATTGCCAAGTATAAAAATGGGTTAGAAACAAAGAAAAAAAGTTTACACACACACGGAAACATCCTGGGGAGCTACTTACTTTACACAAAAACAAAGGGCTTTAGGTGACTTTCTTACATTCAGTCCACATGGTTACTCTCTCAATCTATTAAGCGAGGGGTACTGACAACAATAAAAGTCCCATATTTTTCAGAAAAAATAGCCCTAGATATGCAGGGTTTTAAAAAATATTATTATGCAATTTGCACAATCACATAACATATAAAATGTGTAGATAAGTAAACAAGAACCCTGAATAAAGAAAAAGTGACTTTTTTTCGTAAGCCAATGCACAATAAAATAACTTCAAACATTTTCTTACTCTTAGTAAATACAACCCCTTCTCCTAAAGCAATGCTATCTTTAGTTAGAACTTATTTGTGAATTGTTAGAAAATAATAACCATGAATCAATTCAGGGTCTCTAAGCTCTACGAATATTAATCAAGATTTCCTCTAACAAAGACAATCTCTGGAATATGTAGGTTAAAAGGCCAGCTTCAGAGTAAAATAATATTCTCTATTCACAATAAGGTCAGATGGAGTTTACCCAGTAACCCTGATATCTTCTTTTCAATAAACAATGAGCTCAAATTGGAAAATTGAAGGAAGACTTCTTTTAGATGTAAGGTAATTACAACTTGTTCATAATGTAATGCAGTGCCTCAACTGTTATCACTTTAAAATAAAACTATTATATGATGCGTTTACGACAATGGAATAGAAAAGCCACCAGTATTAACTTCTTCTGACTACTGTTTGAGGGCCTCAGATTAGATTTAAAGAAGAATTTCTGACAGTGAGGGTACTAAAAATGAGTTACTAACAAAGGTTATAAAAACACCTTAAAGATTTTCCAGGAAAAGCATGAACACTCACCCTCAGGGATGATCTGGTATTGTCCTACACATTAAAGCAGAAATAGAAAGCAGAAAACTCTTCGAGCCTCATTTATCCTTATTATTCTTTCAACAAAAAAGGCTTTTACTTCTTCTCCCTTTTTTTTGCCCTACAATCATGGTTCTCTATAACCACTCCCCTCTCTTCTGCTAGCTACGAGATTTCAAATTTGCTATGACAGTATAAATAAATATGTATTCTATTTGCTTTCATTATCATCAAAATAATGCTACAGTGTTGATCAAATACTAATTTGAAAGTGTTTTAAAGCAAAATTCTCAAAGCCCCGCCTAAATTAGGTGAAAAAATGATATCATTTAATCAGCTATATGCTTAGGTATGTTTTGCTAATCTGTTACCCATATGAGGGGTTTATCTTTCACACAAAATACAATCATATGTGTACTTATGTCTGCAACTCCCTTGGAAATGCACCAAAAAAATAACATGAGTTGATGGCTGGTGGATGGATAAATATGCGATACAGTAAATACAGCAAATTGTTAAACTTGTAGAACCTAGGAGATGGCTATAGGTAAACATTTACTGTAAAATTGTTTCAACTTCTCTATACATTTGAAATTTTTAATAATATATTGTTGGGGAAAATGCAATCATATTTGAAAACTGTTTTAAATATTTGAAAACTGTTTTAAATGGCAAGGGAGAAATGTCCAAATCACACAGAGTAATTCTGCACAAAAAGACTAGGCAAGACTTTGCTGCTTATATTTGTTGAGCTGGGGAGGAAAAAAGATTGCCATAACACCTTTACTTTATCAACCTTGAGAAAAGTCCCCCAAATTTCCACTCCTATTGAGAAATGAAGGCAGCTAGAAAGGTTTGCTTGTTAAGAATTCTTTTTTTTTTTTCTGTGAGGAAGATCTGCCCTTAGCTAACACCCGTGCCCACTTTATATGGGATGCCGCCACAGCATGGCTTGACAAGCAGTGCAACAGTGCGCGCCAGGGATCTGAACCTGCAAACCCTGGGGCGCCGAAGCGGAGCACGCGCACTCAACCGCTTGCGCCACCGGGCCAGCCCTATTAAGAATTCTATAGTGAAAATAAGTTCCTTTGACTGAATTTTGAAGAGTAAAAACTGAAATTACTTCTATATTTAAAAATATAATATTTCTTTACCCAGAATAACCTCATTTTCAACATAGATTTCCTGAAAGGAGATAAAGTACACCTTCCTTTGGATTATTCTTTTTGGCAATGTCCTTTCACTCACTGCGAATCTACCTGAAATTACTCAGAGAAAATGTGCAAACAAAACACACAAAAAATGACCACTACACTGGAAAATTTACCTATTCAATAGTGTGTATATAAAATATACATGATATGTGTCATAAGCCTTTCAACAGAAACAACTTTGTAAAGTGTCATGAGCAAGGCATGTTTATGTTTGATATTCCATCAATAACTTTTTGGTAGTCATCGAAAACATACCACTCCTTGCATTTCATAAAGACAGAAAAATACATCATAACTCAAAGAAATTGCTCAGCTAATAGTGGATACATAATGATCTACTTAACAAACATTTATTGAATATCTATTATGTGTCAGACACCATACTAAGCCTTAGGGATGAGTATATGAATAAAATATAGTTCTGACTTCATAAAATTGATGGTTTGGTAAAGAAGACATACAAATGGACAATTACAAAATATTTAAATTGACCAATAAGTACATGCATAGAGTATTATTGTAAGAAAAAGGAGGTACCCAACCTAGCTCAAGGATCTCTGGGAAGGCTTCCTGAGTTTAGTCTTAAAGAATGAGTAGCAGTGACTTAGGCAGGAGAGAATGGGAGAGGGTATTCCATGCTGAGGTGGAAGCCTGACTAAAGGCCGAGAGAGGCACAAAGCAAGATGTTGTGGGCACAGAACAGTGAGGCTAGAGAAAAAGCTCACGGTACGAAGTGAAGACAGAAGAGGCTAGAGAGGCAGGCAGTGGTCATGCCATGGTTGATCTTGTCGGATATGTTAACCAGCTGGACTTTCTCTTGGCCTCAAAAGGATTTTAAGAAGGGGAGTGACATTTTCAGATGTTATCTTAGCTAGATCTCCCTGGCCCCTGAGAGAAGGATGAACATGAGGAAGACACAGTGACCAGCTGCAGGAGTGACATAATGAGGACCTGAACCAAGACTGTGACGGTACATATGGTTTCTATTGAGAAAGACAGGCAGACTGTCAGGTTAAATGTGGGGTGACTTCCATGTGTCTGGCTTGCATGAGAGTCTACAGATAACAACGCCTTCCAACCAAAGAAGATAATACAGAAGGAAAAGCCAAGTAGAAAAGGAAAATGATGGATTTAGCTTTGGATGTATTGAATTTGATACACCTCTGGATTATCTAGGTGATTTTCAGCAGAAAGTTAAATATAGGCTGCTGAGGAGGAGGTCTGAATGGGAGGCTGAACTCTGAGTCAGCAAAATATTAGAGATACCTGAAATTATAAGAGTGAATATTCCGGGGTTAGTATTTATTTTCAATTTTAGCCATTTTGGGTGTGTGGCAGTATCTCATTGCCATTTTAATTTTTATTTCCCTAACGTCTAATGACATTTGGCATCTTTTCAAATGCTTATTTGCCACTCATGTATCTTCTTTGGGGATGTGGCTGTTCAAATTTGTTGCCCATTTTTTTAAGTTGTTTTTTTATTATTGTGTTTTGAGAGTTCTTCATATGTTCTTGATACAAGACTTTTATCAGATATACGCTTTGCAAATATTTTCTCCCAGCACATGGCTTCACAGTGTTTTCTGAAGGGCATAATTTTTTTATTTTGTTTAAGTCCAATGTATTAATTTTTTTCTTTTCTGCATCATGCTTTTGGTGTTGCATCTAAAACATCTTTGCCTAAAGAAGGTCACAAATACTTTCTCCTATGTTTTCTTCTGGAAGTTTTATAGTTTGAGGATTTCCATTTCCATCTATGATCCATTTCGAGTTAATTCTTGTTTATGGTGTGAGGAATGGATGATATAATGAGAGTGGGTAGAATCAATCATGAGAAGTGTTGAGAATAAGAAATGCAAAGGGTGGATGGAACCTGGCGAGAAAACATTAAGGCCAAGGCTTAAGGAAGCTGAGTTGGGCAAAAAAGATACAAGGCATCGTCAGAAATGCACCAGGAAAATTCTGAATAATCAACACTGTCTACTAAGATAAGCAATGAAAAATGTCTTTTTAACTTGTTTGAGGTCATTAGTGACCTTACGAAGAGCATTTCCAGTCAAAACAATTCATTCCGACATTAACTACATCTACCAACCACTTTATAATTCCCCCTGTGGTACCAATTGGGGCGAGGTCTGAAATCCCTGAGCATTCTTAAAGGTCACTTCTCTAGGCACAGGAGGGTCTGGGCTTCCCGACAGTGAGAATGACGGAGGCAGATTCCAGTCATGACCCTTGGGACACTCCAGAATGAGGTTTTGGGAACAAACCCGAGGAATCACTGCCCCGCTGGGAAATCAGAACCACACTCATTGCCGGCTTTGCCAAGCTGACACCTCACCGGGGAGGCAGCTGGCTGAACTACAGCTGAATGAAAAGGCGAGGATGGAAATCTCTGCACTTGGGTAACCCCGGGGCAAATTAGGGAAGTCCCTCCCAGCCCCCACCCCCTCGCGTGTCTGGAGGACGAGAAGCACAGGGCGTAGGGCTCCGCGGCCCAACCTCGGGTCTCGCTGCTCCCGGGCGAAGAGCTCCTGCACTTACCCAGTCCCAGGATGGAGATGGTTAAGCCACTGGCTAGGGGAATCGGGAGGCGGCCTCGTCCTTCCCCAAAGGCCATGCTGGGGGCACTGGACGGACCCCCCTGGCCTACTAACCCTTCACCTCCCCGCCCCAGCAGCCGGCGGCTCACTGCAAGTTGAGCCGTAACCGGGTCTCCCCCGCAGGAGCCGGCTTGCCCATCTCCTCCAGCTTAGTCGTAAAGTGCTGTAAAGGCGCCGGCGTTTTGCGGCACCGTAGGTGAGGCCGGCGGCGTGGCTCCTCGTTCGGCGCAAATCTGACGCTTCGGCTGCTGGCTGTGCGGAAAGGCGGCAGTCGGGAATCTGGGAAGGAGGGGGTCACAGCTACGATTTTCTCAGTGGGTAATTGTCTGCTCCTAGGTAACAGGAGAGAACGCGGAGTGGGGTTGTTTAAAAATACTTATTCCAATCCTTATTTAAGAGGCGTGAAGTAAGAGTCTCAAATCGCACTCCTTGTGAGGGGCCATCCCTCCTCGTGCTATTTTGGTTTTCATCTTCACTAGATTTTAGGTGTCTTCGGTGTAGCTGACATTTGTTCTTCTTGTTCACTTCGTCCTGCAGTTTCCCTCCCCCTGGACTTGGAAATGCTTTACCTGATCGGCTTGGGCCTGGGAGATGCCAAGGACATCACAGTCAAGGGCCTGGAAGTTGTAAGACGCTGCAGGCGAGTGTATCTGGAAGCCTATACCTCGATCCTGACTGTAGGGAAGGAAGTCCTGGTAGGTGTTCAAGGTGCTCCAGCCTCCTAGGAAGAAGGAGCTGATTTTTATTACACTAAGCTGAACCGAATTTTCAGGTCTACTTGTTTAAATCCTTTAAAACACATCCCCTGCTCATTCAGGATCTGAGGAGTACAAGAATGGAAATCATACATCAACCAAGTGACTTGGGAAATGAAAGGGTGCTTTGTCTTACTTTACAAGTCTAATTTTGTGAGTTTCTCCAGTAAATAGGAAAGGAAAGTAATTTTACACTCCTGGGGATAGTTATCAAAATCTCTTATTTCATGAGATAGCTAAGAAATCCTTTCTGAGTTGAGTGCTAATGAGGTGCTGAGACAGCCTTAATGAGTTGGTTTTGTATTCAGAAACCGAGCTGAAAGCTTCCCCCTTTCAAGTATTTCCATAGGGAATGCTAATCGCCTTTTGGTCTGTATCATATCCAGAGAGATCTTACCTTTAAATAGACATCTCCCAGTAAGGCTTATACCCATACGCTTGTTTATATTGAGTGAGCCTGGGACTTAGTAACCATAGGATTTGTTAGTGTATCATACATTTAGCTGGCTCTCATTAAGGACTCAGTATATTTTGGAGGAGGGGTCAAATTCAGGTTCATTGTCAAACTCCAAGTAGAATGTAAATTAAGATGAAAAAATTGGTGGGCATGTTATAGGAGGAGGGAAAGGATTTTAGAATTGTCTGGTCTATCAAGTCTTCCAAACAAAAAGGTGACCTAGAGAATTGCAAGTCTTCTACCTTATCAGAGTCATAGCCCAGAGAATTCTGAAGGTCTCAAAGTTACTTTAAAATCTTAAAGATCCGGGCCAGCCTGGTGGTGTAGTGGTTAAGTTGGTGCATTCCACTTCTGTAGCCCGGGATTTGCAGGTTCAGATCCTGGGTCTGGACCTATGCACCACTAGCTAAGTGTTAATTTTGGTTGCTATCATTTTTTGTGTTAATTTTTTTCCCAAAACATACTTGTAGAGTTATTACTTATAGAGAAGATCTGGGGCTGGGCCCAACCTCACCTAGAGGTAAATTATGTGTGTTTTGTTAAGGTGCTAGAATGTCTGTTCCTCCATAATAATAAGTGCTGATAGAACTTACTATGCCGTGTTTTAAATGCTTTACATGTAGAACAGGATTATTACTGTATAATTACTGTTCACATTTTACGGGCACAGAGAAACTTGCCCAAGTTCATACAGATAGTGAGCGTTAGAGCCAGAATATGAGCCAAGGCAGTCATGAGTTGTGATCCACAACTCTTGACCTTTGTACCATCCTATGTCTCTGTATTCTTAGGGATAGATAATAGTTTCACAAAGTATAACTTCAGAGAACACCTACAGAGAAGTTAGGATTCAACCAAAACCGTCAATCCTAGATCCTTCCCTGTCACAAAATTCCACTGGTCTGCTCTCCATGACCTCCTCCCGGTCTTCAGTTCATATTCTTCCCTGAGCAGCTTGCCATACAACATAGGCCACCATGAATGAATCGTTTCTGGAATAGAGTAAGGTATAAATAAATAAATTTATGCCTTACATTGCCCAGTAAAATCTCAGAGCCACTTTCTGTTCAACCACTTCCTTTCTTCTTTTCATTTCTACCTTTTCTTTCCTTTTAAAACAAATTAATTTTTTAAAATTGTTGACCTGGGGCCAGCCCAGTAGCATAGTGGTTAAGTTCGTGCACTCCACTTCGGTGGCCTGGGATTCACAGGTTCAGATCCCAGCACGGACCTACAAACCGCTCATGGATGCTGTGGCAGTGTCCCATATACAAAATGCAGGAAGATGGGCACAGATGTTAGCTCATGGACAATCTCCCTCACCAAAAAAAAAAAAAAAATTGTTGACGTGCTCACACTTAGGTGTACAATCTGGTCTCGATAACTAGATAATTATTACTGTTAAAAAAAGATTGGAAAATTCTGTTTTCTATAATGAACATATGCTTTCTTTATATTTTATGAAAGGCACACGTGGATGTTGCTAAAGAAATCTAAAATTTCTCTCTTCTTATGTTGAAAGCTATCATTTTCAAATTGCCAAACAGGTAGTATTATTTGTATGTTCTCTATTATTCAAAGGTTAATTAAACTAGAGACAGTGAATCCAGGAAAGAGTTTTAGTTTTGGTATATACAAGTTGAATTTCTTTAGGCACTTTCTGGATAAATTATTATTTTATTTGCCTATTTGATATAATGCACCTGTGTGCGTTATACAAAGAGATATAAGCTATAATCTTTGTTCTCAAGTGGTTCATGAGTCATCCGCATATACCCAGGAAAACTTAAATAATAATGGAAGATTTAAATAACAAAATTCATGACAGCAGTGGAAAGGAGAAACTAAAATTATGTTGCTGGAAAGAGCTTAGATGATCTTATTTGAGCCAACACTCTTGCTTTCACCAACTAAGTGGTAGAAGCTATCTCAAATGTTAAATAATCACTAGTTCTTAATTACAATTGGAATACATGTAAGAGAGATCATTTCAGGCTGTGGTGGTCAGGGAATACTATGGAATAGATGGAATTTGAGTTATGTTTTAAAATAACACATCTCAGTTGTTTTTTTTCTTTTGTTTAAATCATGGTCCAAATAGAAAATGATGATATTTGTACCGCTTTGCAGGGTAAATGGAGGAAGCTGCTCATGGCCAAAAGGGGCTAACTTTGGGGCCCCTGCTCCCCCGCAGAAAGCAGAGGAGATCACTGATCTCTGCCTGTGTACACCCCATTTGTAGTACATATAAAGTTTTGCAATCAACCGAGGTTCTGTGACCGTGAACAGTCACTTTACTTTTCTATGCTGTTTTTCTTATATGTAAAACAGGGATAAAAATAGTGCCTATCTCATAGATTGTGGTAAAGATTAAGTGAAATCATATGCATAAGTTCTTAGAATGGTGACTGACCACAGAGTGAGCCTATTTAAAGTGTATTATTATAAATATTGTTATTATAGATAAGATTTGATAAGGGAAAGAAAAAGAGTTATTATTAAAGATAAGATTGGGTAAGGGGAAGAGAAAGAGCATTCTTTATTGAAGAAAAATAATTGTGTGCAAGAGCATGGAGGAGAAAAAGCACAAGTATTTGCTGTATTTGTTCTTGGGCATCACTGAAATAACTTTAGTTTTCTCCCAGTGTGTCTGTTCCCTCTTTTTCCTTCCTAACCTACTTTACCTTGATACCAGTTCACTCTGTTTCCTTGTCCTCTTATCGAACTGATGTGGATTGAGATTGGAGGGACAGAAGAGGACAGTAAAGGACTTGGCATTGAAAAAAATGAGGCCATTCTCTATGACCTTTATTATAAACTTCCCTTTTGTACTTACCCTAAATCTGAATCTGTCCTCCCTCCAGTCTTAGAAGATGACTTGTAAGATAAGTTTCTCTTCCTGTTCAAGACTAACTCCATCTTCATGGGTTTTTTTCAAACCTCTTTCTCTCCCTGCCTCTCGAACCGTACTCCCATCAATTATTCTTTATTCTTGATGTTCTGTTTTAACATCCTTCTCCCCTTAGCCTGAAACCATACTCAAATATTGTCCATTCTGAACACTCTGCTCTTTTAAACCTCTTTTCCTCATAGTTATTGTTCTGTTTCTATCTCTTCTTTTTCCAAAGCTTTTTGAAAAAGCAGTGTCGTTTTATTGTCTCCCACTTCCATTCCTGTCTCAGACTCCTGCAGACTGACTTCCTTTTCTTTGAAATATTTCTCTGTTTGTTGAACAATTATTTAGCATTGGAGAATTCCAGAGAATAGTTTTGAATTCTTATGTGTTTTATTTCTTTTAACGTAGTTTGGTTACTTGAACCTGGCTTTCAAGACATGACTCTCTCTTGGTTTTATTCCTACTTTTCCATTTTTCTCAGTCCACTTTGTAAGCTCTTTATTTTTCATTCCATCTTTAAATGTTAGTGGTTTTATTTTTGTTTTTTTAAGATTATGTTCTCTCATTTGTTTCCATATACTACTTTGAGCCTCTACTCTTCTACTTTTTCACTAGGTAATACATTAAATGGTTTGAAATTCAAAAGATACTAAGAGGTATATACATCAAGATTTCTACCCCAGTTCCCCTTCCTGGAGGCAATCATTACTAATTTCTTGTATATCCTTCCAGAAATACCCAAAGGTAATTTTAACTTTTAGTTTTTACCCTGTCCCCTCTATACAAAACCTGCCAACTTAAAGTGAAGAATGAATTTTGAGTTTTACCTTAATTTTCATGAATGGAGAAGATTAGGGCTGAGATTATATAAAAACTGGCTAATCAGTCACTGAATACTATGTAGTATAAATTTAAAATATTTGTTAAGTGGTACTGCTTGTTTTTTTTTATTTTCCTTTCCTGACCCTGACTAGGATTGATGCTCCTATAGCACATGCAATGCGGTAGTTAACTCCGCACTAGACATTATGCTCCACAGGGCAGGGGCCATGTATGTCTCATTCACCAGTGTTTCCCAACATCAAGCATAGAGTTTGGCATGGAGGTTGTGCACAAGAAATATTTTTCAAGTGAGTGAGTGAACAAATAAATAAATAAGTGGGTAAATTAAAAATAATGTAATACCAGTCTCTTACTGCTTTTGCTGTCTCTTCCCTTTTTCAAACATTATATTAGGGTGTTTGTGTGTGTGTGTTTCTCTTTAAAGGAGATTTTTTAAATAAACATTCTGTTGTCTCAGTTCTGTAATGAAATGTTTCTTAGGTTAGGGTAAGTGATAAATTAAATATGGAGTGACCCATGATAGAAGTCTTGATTAAAGAGTGGGGTTTTCTCTTGTTGTTAAATCATTTTTAAAATATTGGATAGAATTACTGCTAGCATTAAGCTGGTAGCATGTGTCTTCCTAATCTTTAAGAAATGTGAGAAGGTCAGAAAAAAACATCATTTCCTTCAGTTTTCGGTAATGGCGTGTGTTCTCTTTTATATGTGAATATAAATGTTCTGCAACTATTAAGTTTTCTGGATTCACAAAATTAAAGTAATGTATATAAAAATTAATGATTAAGAAAAAATACGTGGTAAAAGTGAAAATAAAGAGAACATTTTTCATCTATAAAAACATTGTCATTGGGAACTTTTGGAACATTATTGCTAAGAAGATATGCAGAGGAAAGGAGGGGATCTTTTTTCATATTTGAGAAACAGATTCTAGTTAAGTATTAGGAAATAACTATCACAGTTGGAACTATAGCCTTTGTCTTCAAATGCTTAATCATTTGTTCATTTACTCATTTGCTTGACAAATAGTGAGTACCAGACATTCTTCTATTACAGCAGTTCTTATAACCTTTGACTTACGATATAGTCCTTATGATTCAAACAAACTTCTTAGTATGTAAGAAATAGTATTGTCTACCTATGCATCCACTTTTACTATATTTGAATTACATATTACTCTGTAGGAAATCAGTTATAAGATTCATGATCTGGTGAAGTAGCTTGTAACTACTACCACATGGCCCCTGGCACACTACTAGCTCGTTCTTACTTACATGCGGTGCTCCAGTTAAGGTCAGCCTCCTGGGTTTGTTCTCTTGAGTGAACTTCAGGGGCTTAGTTCACAAAGCAGTTGTATAGAGACTTCCTATATATTTAGAATATAATTCCTATATTCCTTTTCTTTTCCCTGCAGCTTTGCCTTTTTTAGCAGGAACTAGGAAATACAGTTTTAAATTAGTCTTTCCTGCAATTATATAGGGAGGTTTGCTGGTTCTGTAAACAACTAAATCTTAATTTTCTATTATTTCTCATTGAAGTTACCTTATAGTTTAGCCAGGATCCCTCAGATTTTCCTATAGAAAATTTAATAAAATTCAAACTACCATCTATGTTTATAATTATTGTTTAATATATTTATTCTGTATTACCGTGTTTCTGAAGTAAGGCTCATGCATACATGTTCTCTGTTCATCCTACAATGTTCTTCCTGGTTTATTAGACCCAAATTTGAGGTAAATTTAAAATGCAAAAAGCCTCAGATGTTAGGAGGTCTACCTCCTCTTGGGATATTAAGATAACCCCAAAGACAGAATTTAATTGCAACATGATATAGAGTGGTAGCTCATTGATGAGTTATAGTCAATGATCTGTGTTTGGATGGTTGCCAAGATTTGCACCAGCCGGGGACAAAGATTGTTTTATGTGTGTTTTGAAATGGTCACCTGCTGTTTCATTTTGATATTGGACTTAAATCTATAGGAAGAGTTTTATGGAAGAAAAGTGATTCTTGCTGATAGAGAAGAAGTGGAACAAGAAGCAGATAATATTTTAAAGGATGCTGATGTCAGTGATGTCGCATTCCTTGTGGTTGGTGATCCATTTGGGTAAGTCAAAGCAGATATTTTGAGTTTTGGTTTATTTACTTTTTTTTAATAAGAATTATTCTATTACATTTAAAACCTTTTACCTGCCAGGTACTGATAAGGGACTCTGTTTACCTAGGTTCTGTCTAAAATTTCATACTTTAAACTTTCATTATCTTTGGATTAATGAAGAAAATCTGCTTGGTAAGGATGTCATTGGTTATCAAGTGTCAACTTGAGAGTTTGTATCATTGCTTCTGTTGTTCTTTTAGAAGGTCACTTAGGGCATCAGATAACTTAACTAGTATATCATTGTTAAATAAGTATATTACATTATCAAGAGCCATACCTGCCATTTGCCTTGTGGGTAATTGCAAGCATCTTCTGCTTGTTTTGTCCTAGGCTTTTTTTTTTAATCATCTAATATTTAGCAATACTACTGTCACTTTACTTGCCTTGAATTTATCATTTATCAAGCCTCAGATTTCCATTTCTTATGTCCATTGGGAGCCTTGTTCTTCCCCATTACTAAAAAGATGGGCTTCCACTTGTCTAGTCAAGCATCATCAATCTCCAGTGTCAAGCCAAACAGAAGAATTCTTTGTCTCCAGCTGGTGACCCAAGATTTATGTCACAGATTTAAGGAACATAAGGACAATTAAATCACTCTGAGCCCACCACCAAGGATATTTTTCAAAAGAATGGAGTTACACGTGCATGTGTCTGTCAAAAAGAGAGTAATTTGTATCAGTATGAGGTGCCAGAGATTATGTATCATTATTATACTTGGTTGCAAATGACGTTGGATAATCATACCTTTTAAAATATTTAAATAATTTGTTTTAGCTTCTGACATTGTTTTCTGTAAAAGTAAGACTTCCTCCAAATTATCGGTACCTGTCTTCCTTTTTTTAGCCACAAAATAGTAAAATAAAATAAGGGTAACGAAAAATCCTATATATAAAATGTCTTGGAACTCTTGTAGTGTTTTCTCATTATCACACTGACTTCTGCCCAAATCCCATGTTTTATATAGTGACACCTTCTGAACTCATCAAACTTCCCGACTTAATGGTACCACAATTCTTACAGTCACCTAGACGAGTAATTGCAGAGTCACTTTTGACTTTCATGGCATCCGGTCACTGACAAAGTTCAATAAACAGTGCTACTCAAAGTGAGGTTTGCAAACTAATGCCAGCCCACAAATTTACTAGTCCAGGGTGAGATAACTACAGAAATTTAGAGTAAGTATTTAGAAACTTTTACAGCAATTTTAAAAAGTAATTTTATCTCTGCTGAGTCTAATAATAAAAATTTCGAGCTTGTATTTTGTATTATTTTATTTTATTTTTTATTTTTCTAATAGTTTTTATTGCATTTTGCAAAACTATTGTTCCATGACAATTTGGAACTTAAAAAAATATTCATCTTTCTCCACAGTTAGTTTGATAAGCACCGTTGTTGACTTTCGTGCTACCCAGTTTTTTATATCCTTTCATTCCTTTCCACTCTGGCTGCCACTATTCTAATCCAACCTCTTATTATCGTACACTCTGGTTTAATATAGTAGCCTTTTGCCTGGTCCAGGTATAGACTCTTAATTTATTACCTGTGCTGTGGTCAAATTCCTATTTGTAAAACCACATTTGAAAGTCTTACCTGGGCTCAAAATGAGAACATTATTAATCCATCATTGGCTAGACATGAAAAATACTGTCCAGCCTGCCCTTCTACTGATGTTCTGCCACTCTGTGCTGAAACCCACATTCATGCCAGTTTGCCCTTCCTCAGTCATCATGCTTTCTCACCATCACACATTTGTTCAAACTGTTTTCTTCATCTGTAATGCCCTTTACCCTATTTCTGACTGTCAGAAGCCTACTCATCTTTCAAAGCCCAACTCAAACATCACATTCTCTGTGATGTGGTCCCTAATTACCCCGACCAGAAGTTATATCTCTTCCTAACTGCTAATGTATTATTCATGTTAGTTTTCATATATTACCTCACAATGTATTTGTTATATGTATATCTACTCTTTAGATTTGTAGGCTGTCCTTCACGTTTTTATCTCCTGCCTTTCCTTCACAATAGTTAGTATACAGTAGACATCAATTAAATATTAATTGAAAGAGTTGTTGACTGTTTTGCCTGAGGTCATGACAAAGGAAGACCAGGCATATCTCAGACTGACATTTATCCATTCAATACCTTTTGAACACCTATCTCATGGCGGGCACTCCTACATGCTGGATGTGTATTAGATGATAAAACAGCTTTGCTGTTTACTAGGAAAGGCCTACAGCAATTGAAGAAAAAATAATAAATTTAAAATTTTTATAGACCTGTAAAGGAAAAAAAATAGGAACTAACAGGAATAGACTTATTTATGCAGAGTCATATGGAATATCCTTTCTGTGGAGGTGATATTCAAGCAGGTATCTGAAAAATAAAAGGAATAGCAGGAGGGAAGAACATTCTAAGCAGAGGGAACTATTAAGAATATTCAAGGAACTAAAAGGCCAGAGTGGCGAGAGCGAAGTGAATGAGAGAGAGGGACATGAGAAGGAATCAAAGAGGCAGGCAGGGCCCAGACCATGTAAGGCCTTGGAGGGAGGAGGGATTTTGTTTGAAGTACAGTGGTAAACCTTTGAAGGATTTTAAGCAGGAAAGAATCACAATCTGATTGACATTCTTAAAAGATCACTCTAAATGCTTGGGTGAAGGGATTTTAGGGAGACCAAGGTGGCTCTGGTGGAAGAGAGAAAAAGACAAACTAGGAAAAATTTAGAAGGAAGAATGCCATGGTGTATACAGTAGATGAGAAAAAGGAAGGAAGTCTTCCAGGATTCTGGCTTTAGTACCTGAATAGTAGATGGTGCCACTTCTTGAAATGATGAAAACCAGTAGGGAAAAGGATTGGGGGAAACAAGAATTGGTTCTGGAAACGTTTTAAATTTGAGATGTCATGTAGGCAATTTGATGTCTGCGACTGGGGTCAAGGGAGGGATTATCCTAAATTTATGGCTTTTGAAGTCATTGATATTTAGATGGTATTTAAAGCCAGAGGAATGGATGGAGTTACTTCAGTAAAGAACAAGGGCAGGAGGAGAGGACCTAGGATCAGTCCCTAGAAACTTTGGCATTTCATGGTCTATCAAGAGCCAGAGGAGGAGGAAAACCAAGAAAGTGTGTTGTCACAGAAGCCAAGAAAAGAAGATGTTTCAAAAAGAAAAGAGTGGTCAACTTTGATATACTGCTGAAAGATTAAGTAGGAAATGGGGATAGAAAAGTGTGTATAAATTTAAAGGCACGGTGTTTAGAGTTAATCAGTTGTGGCTTTATGGAGGAGTTGGTGCTTGGGCTGGGACTGGGTAGGGTTCATAAGTGGAGATTGTGGGGTAGGCCTGGGGGTGCTGATTGGGGAGTGGAAGGGAGAATTCAATGTAAATGAAAAGACTGAGACCCAGAGAAAGTGCCTTTATGCTGCTCAAAATCCTTCAGTGACTTTTCATGGCCTTAAATCTTTTAATAGTCTATCTACTTTTTCCTTTGGCTACTCTTCTTTTTGACTATGCTAGAGCCAAATTGTACAACTTGGCCATTTCGTAAGTGTTTTGCAATATTCGTCCTTCATGTCTTTACTTATGCTCTTTCCTTAAAACAGACTGTTCTTTTAGTAATGTTCTACATTTAGTAAAATACATTTAGCTTGAAGACCCAGCTGAGATGCCACCTCTTCCATGAATCCTCCCTTATTTTATTCAGGAGTAAGTGCTTTTTTTTTTTTTTTACTCCTAGACAGTTAAGTTTCTCAATGTCAGTGACTAATCATGTATAACCTTGTATTCAGAATTATGTAATATTTACTATACTGTAGTTATTTTTCATTTACCCACTGGATTACTGTTGGGATATAGTAGTTGAAGACAGGATGGTAGGGAATGTGTAAATTTTAATTGAAGAATTAGAATTTGAGTGAATTAAATGAGATAAAACAGAAAGGTAGTGCAGAATGCAACAAGGCACTGAAATTTTTCCTTATATAAGACCAAAAAAAAAAGTCTTTTGTTCAATTTTAAGCCCTTTTCTACTTACTTGAATAAAAAATTCAAAAAGAAGGGAAAATTGTTCAGTCAATCTTAAATTCTTTTTTCTAGTATTTTTAAAGTTGTGGTGAAGTGTATATAACATAAAATTTACCATTTTAGCATTTTTTAAGTGTACAGTGCAGTGGCATTGAGTACTTGCACATTGTTATGCACCATCACCACCAACCATGTCCAATAATCTTAAATTCTTGAAGAAGGCAGTTGAAATCAGTTCAGTCAGTTGATGTAGTTCTCATCTTTGCCCTTTTATCCAGGTTATTGAAAGGAATGTAGAAGTTAATCACATAAAGAATGTAAATGACTGAAAAAAATACTACATCAATAGATCTGACTCAGTCATGTGAGAGATGAGCCTTAAGCTTTCTGTCCCCATAAAGAGCAGTTGAACAGGGTCATCATAAACCAAATTCTTTCTAAAGATGGTTCCATTTTTATTCCCTTCTGTGTTTTACTATGCTCTGTAACTATATATATTTTATAATAAATGAACACATAAATTTTTTATCCTTATGTTGTGTGCCCTTTCCTTCGTGACACACATACAAAAATGTGCCTTTATTCACCTGTCTCCTGTGTGCCCTAGTGTGGGTCATTCGACTGCTTCTATTCCATGTAGTTAATGCATTTGAAGAGTGCTTGGCTTCTAGTAACATCCAGTAAATGTCAGCATTATTATCATTAGTCCATTTTTTTCTCCAATATAAATAAAGCTGCCATGTATGGATTAATGTATATGATCCTTTTCCCCTCCTCTCACTTTCCCATCCCCACATTTTGGATTGTTTTCCTGTGGTAGATTCTCCAAAATAGGTTTATAATACCAAAAGATTCAAAAGTTTTGGACATGACGCTTACAAGTGTGTATTGTCAATTTGCTTTTCAAAACGATTGTGCCAATTTATAATGCTTCCTGAAAATATCAGTTTCACCATTTCATTGCAAATAGTGGATTTTCAGGTCACCAGCCATACCTCTGTCAGATATAGTGGTACTATATTCACAAACTAATGTTATTATAAAATAAAATTTTGAATAAACATACCAAGTCTTACACATTCAAATTGGTCACCATTATGTATTTTATTTCATTGATTCCATTGATCAAAACATTTTTGAATCTTCTCTTTTGAAATTGCCTTCAGAGCAATTCCAAGTAACAAGTATATTATTAAGAAAAATTTATTACTTTTTCTGGGCATGTGGCTCTATCCAGAATCATGTATGTGTGTCTATCTGTACATATGATTTTGGGTAGAGCCACATGCCCAGAAATAGTAATAAATTTGTCTTTACACACACACACACGCACACACATGCGTTCCCAGTCACCATAATAAAGCATTTTCATGAACCACAAACTGGAAGGAATGCTCAATAATAGGGTGTAAGCCTGTGTTTCAAATTAGTTTTTTCTTTTCCATGAAGCAATATAATCTAGGTAATGGTGATAGTAAAATACCAATTTTATCACAATTTTTCATAGCAGAAACCTGAGGAGCTTATTCAGTCACATTTATGGCAGTTTCACAAAATCAAATCCCTTTGCTGGGTCATTAAGTCTTCATAGTACACCAACCACATCTGGTCATTTTAAATGAACTTATATTAAAGAAAGATATAATTTTAAATCAGTTTTTCTTTCTGCTCATTACATTAACTCACCAAATAACCAGTTGAGTTTTCCTTAGTGTTAAGTAGTGAGAGTCTGTTGAAGATGATATTAAAAACATTCTTTACAACTGGCATTCATTTTTTAAAAACTTTCTCTAAATCAAATTAATGATTGTTTTTCATATTTGTTTTTATTTTATGTGTGTGATTAAAAACAGGCTTCCCTGGTGGGCATTTGTTAATCTGTTTCTGACTGCCGCATGGGGTGCCAGCCCTTGATCTTCCTACTTGGTATGCATTGACCAGTTGACAGGTTCTGCTTGTTTGTATGTGGCTTCTCAAATATGCTAATGTTGCTTTCCCCAGTAGGGCCTGGAGTTTTCATCAAGGGGAAAAAGGCCTTTAATAATGCAGTTCTAAATTTATATGGGCTTACACTTCACCATATCCATATTTATATTTACATATATTCTCTCTCCACCCGTCTTTTTAATTATAGTCATTAGATTTATCTCAAAAAAGGAGAGGTAACAGGCAGAATATGCACACACATACACATACTAATTATACGGTCACCAGACTGAAAACAGTTAGAAATAAAATGACTGCTAGACTGATGTAAAATCCAGCTAGGGTTATATATGATGGAACTCTAACATAAAGACAAAGATTGACAGGCTATGAAAATGTTCTCTGTGTTCTACCTTGTTGTATTTCAAAATACATAAACAAAGCCTTCAAAATAGAGCAGAAATCAAAGTGTAGGTCTAGTTGTGCCATATTTTAGAACTCTAGAGCAGTAATTTTAAGCGTTTTTTAAAGGGATCCTAAGACCAAAAGGTTTGAGAATTGCTGCTCAAGAGTTCAGTTGCTGAGCTTATACAGTATTCCACAGATGGCTTTTGCAGGTATTAACAGGATGAAAAGAGCAAGTAAAACTTCCCTTTTTTCTGTAGCTGCCAAGGCTGCTTTAAGAGTATTACTGGTGCAGTTCAACATTGTAAAGGGCATGTGTAGACTTAACACTTTTCTTGCCAAAAAGCCCGGATGGAAGCCTTAATGCAGGTGCCCAGCAGTATTTGAGGAGAAGCCAGGCCCTCAACCCTTTGATTGACTTGAACTCATGAAATCTGAAAGCTTTACTGTCTTAAAAAGTCAGTGTTGGTTACATTAATCCAACCTGATCTTTTCTCACTACAGTGCTACAACACACAGCGATCTTATTCTGAGAGCAACAAAACTGGGAATCCCTTATCGAGTTATTCACAATGCTTCCATAATGAATGCTGTAGGCTGCTGCGGTTTACAGGTAATACTGCAGAGAATGTATTTTTTCAAATGACCTTAAGCAAAAATGTTTTATTTTTCTATAAATTGCAAGTGGATTTTATTATATTTCATGAATTATAAGACATTATTATTTTATATTACATCACTGTGTACTGTTTTATAATACTAAATTTTTTTAGACTAAGTTTTCCTGTAACTTAGATTTTTTTCCCCTTCGTTGGAATAGGCCGTTGATATTTAGCTAGAGAAAGATTTTAAGCTTATATCCAACTTGTGCATACAAAAAAGGAAAGATAACCTAATTAAATTGGTTAAGTATTTCTAAAACCTTTTTACATTCTTCCAAATGACTTACTCTGCATTGCTGAGGCCCACGTTTTTCCACACAGTATTGTTTTCTGTGGCATCAAGAGCATTGTGATGCAGTATTTCTTAAAATAATGTATAACAGAGCCAAAAGCCAGTGACACTGGGCTTTAAAGCCAGTTTTGCAATTATTGATGTGTAAAGTTAGTTGTTTTTAATGCACAATTTCGGTCCTGAGGGATTAAAAGAGTGCTCCCTGTTTCCAAGATTTTCTTCCAAGCTGCTGGCATTCGTTTTCCAAGTTTGATATCTGTTCTGATGTTCACACATATATAATCCATAACAACTACAACTGCTTATGGCCAACAGTGATTTTAAGGTTTCATTGATTGTTAAGACACATTTGTATTTCAGATATAACAGGAAAAAAATGTGTATCTTAGAATCTATGAAATAAGATATTCCCCAATATATCTTCCTAGAATGCATAATTTAAAATAGCTATTTACATTATCACTATATGCATGGCACACTTAAATTTTAAAATAAATGTATGGATATCCTGCATAATGCAAAAACTTTGGCAAAGTCCTCTTCCTTATTATAGCTGGTCTTTTTCTCTTTCCTATTTGGACTCACATTTATGGAAAAAACAATAGCCTATACCAGTGGTTCTCAGACTTTAGTATTCATCAGAATCACCTGGAGGGCTTGTGAAAGAGGTTGCTGGGCCTTCCCCTCAGATTTTCTGATACAGTAGATCTGGGGTTGGGGTCTGAGAATTTGCATTTCTAACAAATTCTCAGGTGATGCTGAAGGTGCTGGTATAGGTACCACGCTTGGAGAACCACCAACCTAGGCAGATAAAAAATTTCTTAGAAAGTTAAAGAACAGTACTATCTCTTTTTTAGCTTAGCAGAATTGGAAAAATAGATTTTTTTTTTTTGGTGAGGGAAGATTAGCCCTAAGCTAGCGCCTATTGCCAGTCCTCCTATTTTTGCTAAGGAAGATTGGCCCTGGGCTGACATCTGTGCCCATCTTCCTCTACTTTATATGTGGCATGCCTGCCACAGCATGGCTTGATAAGCGGTGCGTAGGTCCACGCCTGGGATCTGAACCTGCAAACCCCGGGCCACCAAAGCGGAGTGCGCGAACTTAACCACTATGCCACTGGGCAGGCCCAAGGAAAAGTAGATTTTAATTCCCAAAAATATGCTTGCTAAATGTAGAATGTTAACAGGTTACCTTGTCATGCTCTCTTGCTCAGTTTTTAAAAAGGGAAGTGGGCACCACTTTTGAAAGGTATTCTGTCATCTCTGTGAAAGAGCTTTCCCATGAGTTCAAAAAGAGCCATCTAGTTATTGAATAAAGTGCTATTTGGGTGCTGTGACATGCCTGAACAGTTTATGCTTTCCAACATCTTTAACTTAGGTTAAAGAGTAGTAGTATGAAATTCCTAACCTAGAAATGGGCACAAATTTTTTAAACTATTTATCAGCCCCTTTTGAGCTATTTTATTGTTTTTGCTTTTTGCTAAAGCAGCATAGAGAGTTCAGAATCAATCAAGTTGTTTTCGTGAACTTTGTGGTTTATTAACCAATAGAAGACTCTTGATTATCAGTAAAAATGAAAGTAAGTAGTTGTACCGACTAACACTTCTGCACACACATACACACACAGCCAGTGAGAGGCATTCTCTCATAGGCCATAAAATACAATTCCTTACCACAAATCCCATATTCTTAATGAAAATTTTCCTTGTTAAATGAAAAATATATTGGAAGCTGCTGAGTTAGACATTGTTAAGAGGAATAGTGATCCATTTATTCAACAAATACTGTTTGCCGACTTATTGTTTGACCACTAAGTGCCTTTGGATACGGTGATAACCTGACCAAGAAGCTCCCTGCTCTCGAAGAGCATATGTTCTAGTAGGAGGGAGAGGCAGTAACAAGTGAAAAAATAAATGTCAGGTAGTGCCAAGTATAAGAAATTCAAGTAGGCGGATATGTTAGAGAGTGACTAGGTTGGTACTGTAGTTGGGTGGTCAGGAAAGGTCTCTAAGGTGGTAACATTTAAGATTAGATATGAATCAAGAAGGAATTAGCATATTCCAGTCAGAGGGAACAGTTCATGCAAAGACCCTAAAGTGGAAATGAGTGTGGCTTGTTAAAGGAACCAAAGATAGACTTTTTGGAGAGTAGCAGGCAAGGGGAAGAGTGATCTGAGGTGGGTACGAGTGGCTCTCTAGACTCTCTAATTCACCATCAGGAGTTTGGGTTTTATTCTAAGTGATATAGACTGAATTTAGAGGGGTTTAAGCAGTGCAAATACTTGATCTGATAAATATCTTTAAAAGATATCTCTGGGTAGTGTGTGGAGATTGAATTACTGTCAGACAAGATTGGAAGTGAGGAAGTCAATTAGGAGGCTGTTGCAGTGCTTAGAGGAGATATGATAGGGGCTTGGCCTGCATGGAGGGGTGGGGTGTAAGACAAGATCAAAAGAAGTGGACTTGTAGGAGCAGTGTCCATTGAGAGAATTGAGATTTAGGGAGATGTAAAGAGCCATTTCTTCATTACTGATAGTCCTAGGAAAGGAAATGGACTGTGTATGTCAATGGATCCTTTCCCACCGTCTCGCCCAGTTATTATGGTCCTTACCCACATAGACTTGTCCATGGAGGCTGGACCTTTCTAACTTCTTTGCTTAGTTGGTTTCTTATTTTGGTTGGTTGTATTAACTTGTCATTTCTAGAGCAGTTGCCTCCTAAGAACCGTGTGCCAGTCTTCCTCTGCTTTCAGGACCATTATCAATCTAGAATTGATTATGTAGAAGAGTATGATTAGGTTTATCTTACTCTCAGACCGTTGAGGGCATGGATACTGCCCTGAATTTTCACCTTTTATCTTGTGAAGAATTAGTAGTCCTGGCATAAATATTAAATATATGTATATTAAGTAAAATAAGTGAGACACAGAAGGCACATATTGTATGATTCCATTTATATGAGATGTCCAGTAAGAGCAAATCTATAGAGACAGTAATTAGTGGTTGGCTGGGGCTAGGGTTAAGAACAAAGATTAGCTATAAATGGACATAAGGGATCTGATTGGAGTGATAAAAATTTTCTAAAACTGGATATGATGATGGTTGTACAACTTGGTAAATTTACTAAAAATCATTGAATGTACACTTGAAATGGGTGAATATTCTGATATGTAAATTATACCTCAATTAAGTGGTTTAAAAAGTGAATTACAAGAAATTTGCTAGATGAACAAGGAGACAAAAGACAGAGAGAAATGTACAGCTAAAGAAGAGAGTCATGGAAGCAGTTTGGGGAATCTGCAAGGTATTACAGAAATACACAAACACAAATGAATACATACATGCATACCACAGAAACTTTGGGTCTCTAGGGATTAGTTAACATAAGACTTAGCAATATATATGTTGGATAAAAATTGAGTATATATTGGGTGGAATTGGTAAAGGAAAAATATAATGGAAATGGTTTAAAGTTTAACTGCAAATGAAAAGGTCTTGGTTTGACTTTTTGCTTAGGCAGTAACTAAGGAGTCATCTAACTTCTCTGGATCTTAGGTTTCCTAACTACAAGGGGATGAACTGGGGAGAGGGAGGAATGTTGGGCAAGAGCAGTGGTTTTCAGAGCCACCATGGTTTATGAAGATGCTTCAGGGATTCTGCAGATAATGAAGCAATTGACACCAAACACAAAGAATAAATCCCCAAGATGGCCAATCATTATCTTTAACTCTACTGATGTTCTCTTTGAGAATTCATTTGGAAAAAAAGATTTGACACTTAAAAATATGAAGAATACTAAACTAGATAAGCTCTAACATCCTGTAGATTTCAAAGCTAAAAAGCTGGTCTCTTTCCAACTTTAGGGAAAGGTTACCTTGACCAACATATATTAGATACTCAAATTTTCATTGGAAATGTTAGGATTTTTCAGAATTAAAATATTAGTCATAAACGTATACTTAAGAATCGTGTTATTTGAAATTCCTAAGTAACAGATATTTCTAACACTTAAATATTGTTTATACTTCGAGGATTTTTCTAATCAAAGAAAAATCCATTTATTTGTCTAGGGCCAGGCAAGTTGGTTGTATTTAGACATTCCTGATAATGAAAAGTCAGATTTTTCTCAAAACACAAAAGACAAGAGGAACAAAGTCCTTCTTTTCTTGAATTCTTCAGATTAAGCAATTAGCAGCTTAAACATGTGGAATCAGAATTGCTTTAATTTACCATTGTTTCTGCTTTAGAAGAGCCATTTTAAAAAATAACTTTTTTCCTTGATAATAAATAACATATATACTTATAGAAAATTCAGAAAATATAGTAAGTATAAGCAAGAAAATAAAAGCATCCATAGTCCTACCACCTAGAGGTAACCATAGTTTTGGTCTATTTTCTTTCAGTCTTTTTATTCAATACTTACTATGTATACATTCTCCTGATTCTGACAGGCCAAATAAAAGAATAAATTACAAATCCTAAAATACTTTCTTTGTGTGGTATTTATCATTTATTGCTAAGCATTTGTGTGGTAGAATATATTAATTCTTTGGTAAAAATTTAGTGACTAAAATGGTTTTGAGACATTTTAAGGGACAGATAAATAAGACAACCAGGTAGCAATGATTTCTGGGTAAAAACTGCATTATCAGTTGTGGCTGA